GGGACGCACATCGGCCGAATCCAGTTGCAACCAGGGTGTCAGTATCCCATCAAAAAGACGAGTAACTGCCGACCCCGTTGGTAGGCATTCTCCTCCACTTGCCCCCTTCCCCGTTCTGTGACCTCCTAGAGACCGAGAAACTGGCGCGCTGGTATACGAATGCACAGGGTCCTTTTACTAAACTGGCCAAACTGAAAGATCGCCAAGCTTTCGGGTCATAGGATGTCACTGGTATCACCGAGACATGGTTGCAAATGGGAATGACGGACGCTGACGTTTCGTTACCGGGTATATCGCTGATCCGGAACGATAGGCTCACAAAAGGAGGAGAGGTAGTCCTGTATTAACGAAACGACATGCAGTGCGAAGCCATGGAGGATTCAGACGCGCAGTTCCCCGATTCCCTTTAGTTTCGCTTGCGGTTAAAAGACAGGGACGCATGCCCTATTGTTTTGGTGTACCGCCCCCTAACTCTACACCTGAAACAGACTGCCACCTAACGGCTGCTGTAAGATGCAGTTTACAACGAAAGTACCCTCACATACTTGTCATGGGTGGCTTCAACGTACACTGCGTAGAAACTCCTGCCACGATCGGAGAACAATTCAAAGCCGACCTACAGAATCTGGTAACCACCGTTAAACTTACAATCGCTTCACTTTGCCCACTCGGTTGAGAACAGTTACAAGGCCATCTGTGCCGGATCTTGAGAATACCAACGAGGAGCATATGATTGCTGTGTTGGGTTTAGACTGTTCGTTGGGTCGCACTGACCAGGTACTCATCAGTTTTAACTTCGTCTGCTATGCGGAACATCGGAATGAGCGCGATGAGACTGTGCAAACTATCACAAGCTATGATCGATTAGCCAAGCTCATCAGCGCTACAACTTGGTCGTTCCTTGCCGAAGAACCCCCGGTAGTCTCCTGGCTCGCGTTCGTCAACAAATTCAGTCAGCTGATTGCAGAGTCTTTATAGCTAAGCATTTGCAATAAGTGTACTTCATTTGCTTTTGTTATGAGCAGAACTCGAATATGGATGACAGTACGCAACGCAGCCTGGCGAGTGTACAGAGAAGCTCCAGCACCAGAAACTTGGAACAACTACCTAGTCCAACGTAACCACCGCACTTAACTGCTAAGAGAAGACAAAGCCGCCTATTAGTAGAACATCGCAAAAACCTTCAGTGTAAACCTCAAAATGCGGTACATGCACGTCCATAGCCTAAGAAAGGTGAGATAAGGATTTTTCCACTCAGGACGGCTGATGGCCCAACAAGAACGGCTGTGTAACCAGCAAACGCGCTGCGGATGCAATGTGCCCCACGGCTCATATGGCCTTGTCACCAAGCGAGCTTTTAATCTTTGTCGTCCCTTCGCCAAGACTAACCCACATCACTTTCACCGCGGAGGCTGTATTGAAAACGCTGACATCTCTAAGGGAACACAGTCCGCCGGAGGTCGACACCATTCGTACAGAGGCATTGGAAGCGGTAGCTAGTTAACAGGCAGTAATTTGAGCTAAGTTTTTCTAGCGCTGCTTAGGTCACAATCAAGTTCCTGCTATGTGGATGCTTAAAATAATAACTCAGCTTCACAAATGTGGAAACAGAACTGATCCCGCCAACTACCGTCCAGTATCCCTTCTTCCTATACTCGTCAATGTTATAGAATCCATATTTGCCGAAGCACTGGTGTGCTAGCTGGAAAACTGTAACGTCATCACGCCTGAGCAGCAAGGCTTCCGTCGACAGCGGTCATACACAACGAATTTACTAATCGCACACAGTAGTTGGACCGAGTCTGCTAACGCTGGAGATGGTATTGATGTGATGCACCTGGACTTTTTAAAAGCTTTCGATCGTCTAGACCACCGGATACTACTATCCAAGCTCCAGCATTAGGAGATCGGCGACCCTCTTTTAAGCTGGATTGCTAACTTTATACTTAAACGGCAATTAGTGGGCAGAGTTCGGAGCACTTTATCGGACCCCATACAAGTCGAGTGTGCTGTGCCGCAAGGCTCAGTTCTAAGTCCACGTTTGTTTTTGGTGTTTATTAATGACCTTGCACAGGGAATCCGTTCAAATTTCCCAGTCTGCCGAAGATATCAACATCTGACGCAGGATCCAGGCGAACGCCTACTAGCATTTACGTTAGCTTGACCTAGGTACGATGTATCAATGGTCCACCCAAAACTTATTGCATTTCAACGTCAGTAAATGCAAGGCCCTTTCCATCTGACACCAGAGAAAACACTCATAACGACTTGGAACGAAGATACTACAACAAGCAACCCTGGGACGTGACTTGCGTGTGTTGGTTCGAGACGACTTGTGTTGCTCCAGGCAATCCGAAAAGTCCTCGAAGACCGGAAACCAACACGTCGGGCTGTTCCGACGGGCGTTTGGACAAATATAGAGCTTCATATTTGGACAAATGCTCAGTGCGTACGTTCGCCCCCGTGTCAACTACGCAATTCAAGCCTGGTGTCCATGACTGAAACACGACCTTAATGCGCTGGAGCAGCCACAACGCCAGACATCGAAGAACGTAACTGGAATGCGCCACCTCTCATACCAGGAGAGGCCGCACCGATGGAAGGTATTCAGTAGAAGCTTTCACAGACTACGAAGCGACCTGATTATGGCATGCTCGATTGTGCAAGACCCACATCATTTGTGCCGCCCTGTACTGTGACACAGCATCAATACAGCCCTGAGGGGGCACTCGTTGAAACACGCTGTGCAGTATGGCCGTCTGGAGTGCCGTAGCAATTTCTTTTCCATTCGTGTCTGTCACCACTGGAATACTATCCCAGAATCGATCGTCTCTGCACCGACGTTAACAGTATTTAAAAGCCGGTTGGATGATGCACTCATCCACTTACAATTTGGCACCTATCACTAGGTCTTCATCCTACACCTGGAGTTTACCATGGAATTATTTGACGTTAACTGCGGATGCTGTGAATCTAAGCGGCTTGCAGGACTACGGCGGGGCAAACGATAAGTCCTTATTTTTATATTTAAAGTACTAACCGTTTTACTCTCATTATCATTATTGGTATGTTGATGTCCCAACCAACTATCCAACAGGACTTGCAAAGCACCGCTTCTTTACCCGTATAAACTCATTATTCCATGGGCGTACGCCACTAACGCTCCTACCAATATCGACTGGGAGAACAGTCCCGCAGTATGATCCGTATGAAAGTGTTCTCGGTCTGCACGTGAGGAAAATGTGAAAGGCGCAAAGCAAGCTGCGATGGCAGTGAAAAACATTAGCTTACAATTGGGCCTAATACGGAGGGATTTGTCCGTTTTGAGCCCAACGACTTTTCGCAACTGCTCAACGCTCACTTGAGACCGCACATAGAATACGCCATACAGGTGTGACACCCCTGGCAAAAGCATGATAGCCCTATCCGTGAGAGGCTACAACGGTGGGTGACAAAAATCTGAAGGGATTGCTCCACCTCCCTTACCAGTTTGTCTAGAGACTTAAGGACGTGTTAGTGAACAATACCGTCTTCAGTGAGGTGATCTCATAGTTGTGTATCCGATCCTCAAGGACTCTAGCCAACCTTGCCGATTCCTAGTGCAACTCAGCCACAACAATACAATGAGAGGTACCAAGTTGAATTTGACGACACATTATAGCAGGTTGGAAGTACGCCGGAACGCTTTCTCATTTCGTGTATAACGCGTTGTGTTATATTTGTTCTTACGTTATCCGAATTAAAAATTCGACGGGATAATGCATTAAACTATCTGTATTACATGCTTCAACCACACGACAATGTAACCAAACATCGTGTACACATGAACTTTACGGTAAACCTAGCGTCACACAGTTTTTACTTTGCTACATACATTTTTGACCTCACCCTTCACTTACAAAATCTAGTAAGCGTTTACTTCTATATCCGTGATAAATCCATGGTTTCATTCTTCCAGTGTACTCAGCCTTGGTCAGTGGCGATAACTAAGTTGGATATTCGTCATTGCAGACATAAATGGACCCCCTGTCAGGAGAGGGGGTTTCCTGACACATTTCAACCTGGTAGTGGAGCTATGAAGCCAGCTTTTGCTAGGCGTTAACATGTATTTGGTGGCTCCTAGGACATTAGCCGGTAATTGAGACGTAAGCCGTGTCAAATAGAAGACAGTATAAAAGTTGGAGGCAACTGAAACCAACGTGTATTGTGCAGGCTACAAAAATAGCAAGGGAATCAATCAGAGCGAGAAACGCTGCGGCAAGCTACTCCCCAAAAAGATTTTTGTCAACAGAAGTGCCGTCAGTAATACCACGGGATGTTTTTCAGGTTAAAGCAATCGTAAAAGCCCGTTTGTAAAATACCGAAACCGCCTGTTTTCTGGTACACAACAATGGCTTCCCTCTAGAAGGTTGAAGGATGGAAGCCTTCAGTGGAGTCGTTAGTGGGAGAAAACGGGAGGTGAGGATGGATCCGAATGAAATACGGTTTAAGCTAGCAGAGTGCACGCACAAAAATAGAACATGAAAAATAATTCTAGTTGTCAACTATTATTACTATTGAAATAAGTTTGCAGCATTCTACTTTAAGCATCAGCTCATCACGATAGCACTAGCTATGAAAATTGTTTGAATTTTCTTATTATAAACATTCTTCCGTACGAACGCCTGCGCCATAAATGAACTAGGGCTACGGCTTTCAAGGGAATGTTGTATTGATCGGAAACGAGTATCTGTCTTCAGTAAAGATTGCGGGACACAGCCGCTGAGCGTATAAGAAATGCTTTAAAAATAATAGTGATCAGTAGTGGGGCTATAAAGTTTTAACATCATTATAGATGGCGGACCACAAATTGCTGTATTATTGTTTACTGAATGCTAGGCTAATTGTTAGGAACGCGGAAGAATTCGCATGAAGATACAAACCTATATTATAATGGCTTTTACACAACCTGAATTTTGCGGACCGATCACGGTGTAGTGTATTTTTTGTGCGACCACCGTTTCTGGTTTTCGCAGTCGGGCGCGCTGTATAAATCACGAGCAACATTTTCGGATTATAACACACATACCGGCATTATTATATCTTGTGCCATCAAATGGTCTAGCAAATCCTAAAAGTCCTAATATAAAAGTAAACGCTTTTTTGCAACACTGGTTGTGCACCTTAATATCTTTTTCATCCGATGATTTACGTTGGAGAACATAAGCACGTACATAATGAATTAAGGACACTTTACGACCCTTATTCGACCATGGATTGCTGCACAAACTCTTCAAATTCCTCTCCTACACCGGCTTTTCATGTAATGCACATTGAGGAATCGAAGGTGGATTCACTGGAGAAAAGCATTGTTTTTCTTCGGGAACAACATGAACATATGCTTAAAGGTTTACATGAGGAAATTGAGCATCTGAGGAGGGCGAATAAAGGTTTTAAATAGTTCGAAAACTATTTTTTGCAGCATTGCAGTTCCGCTTGGTTATGTGTTGCTGCTCGACTAGCTCAGCACCCAGCAAACCCACAGAAAGTGGGTTTCGATTACATCCAGACGCTTTACTTTAAGGTACTTGTTCTCGTTCGGTATCCGACCTTAAGAATGAGGTGACCGAGCTGAGACGCTTGCTGGAAGAGGAACGCAAGAAAAACGCCTTATTATCTCAGCAAGTGGAGACGATACAATCTGGTCGACAAACAGTTACGGAGTGAGTCAAATGAACACTGTTTACTTTGTGTCATATTAAAGGGGTCCTGTTATTTGATATCTCTTCCGTAAATTGGATAGTGGAATATCCAACATGACACATGCTTTATGCAGATTTCTTTTAACGAGAGTGGTGTTATCAAAACAGAACAAACACCGATGCTCATTAGCCATTATTGCCTTACATCACAATTCTAACTTTAGAAAAGTGTAGCTTAAGGAATATTTAAAACTCAAAAAGAGCAAGAATTTGATCCGCATGCAATGAAATCTTTTTAATTATTGTATATACACTGCGCGATTGAGCGGCATGTTGGATTCAACCGTGGCGTCGTGTGTGTTTGGTCGGAAGAACAAATGCAACGTATATATTGGCATTCTGCAAACAATAATTGCACAGTAAGAAGGTACACTTAATTTATAACTTTGCACGACATACACAAGCAATCCGAGGGAACTGCGACACTACTACAGTACACCAGACGTATTATGGTGCGGTCCATTTAGGCAAATGTGGCCAATAAATCCATCATCATTACACTTTATCTTGAGATGAGGTTTCTGCAATTTAAATTCAAGGAAGTAACTTATGCATCCATAAGTTAAATATTCAGCTATTACACATACGCTTTTAACCCACTAAAAGAAATAAAACAGTTAAGACAAAGGAGAGTAATAAGTGGCATAAACAGCAGTATGGTTTTGATGCAAAATTGTTTTTGAGCTTCAGGACAACTGATATCTGCTCACTCATTAAACATGCCAGATATGGAATAATAGATGAGTGGTAAGCCCTTGTACGGTCAGAAACGGATCGATACTTTTGTCTGGTTGTGGATGTTGATACACACTCAGACTTGTAGCAGTAAGCATACTCAAGGCAAGCCTTAGGCATGAATTGATGTGAGTGGACCCAAGAACTTCAACAAAGTCGGCTTGAGAATTCCACTATACCGCGATAATTGCGTCCGTGATCTATTCAGGATTTCGAAGTGTCTTCTCAGGAAACCAGGAAATATCGCAGTAGAGCACTAAGTCCAAAGCGGCAAGACACATGCAGTGCTAAATCTCAGAATTAACTGGCTGGGTACAGAGAAGGATCTCAAACGAAGGGCGTAATGACATCATTGCCATGGGGTGATCAGGAAAGAGAACGACTGGATGCTGCACCTAGGTACTTCACTGACAACCTGGAGTGCAAATTCTCACCATCTACGTAATGTTCGGGATATTCCATGAGAACTTCCTGTTATCATGGTCATTGTGTAAGGGAAAATGACGTTGTTGCATCTTGATGCGTTTAGGGATAAAAAGTGAGCTCCGGACCATAATACAAGGCTGTCCAGTTGGCCTGTTGCGAGACAGTTTTATAACTAAATCCATCGCGCTATAGCCTTTATTGCTCCACAATGTGATCGTCTTGCTCGTGTCCGAAAATGCAGTCGAACACCCAATCAATCAAAAAACTTGGAAATTATCTGCAAGATTTTGAAGGTCCCATGACTTTTCAGTGATCATACTGATGCATGCATTTATCGCCAGAATCAAACATGCGCAGTAAATGCGGCGAAAAAAGGAAGAAGATATAGCCCTACGAACAAGCTGCAAGGCGAGGGAGCTTGTCATAATGCTGCCTCTTAGAATCCATGACCGCTCACCTTCGATTACTGAAGGTGTTTACGGTGAGGGCTACTTACTTCGTGACTTAGCAGTAACCCGTGAAGCATTCATTGGCTTTGGTACTTCTATGATTCTCGAATATGACTTTGTATCAGTGTATACAGATGTTGTAGTGATAAGCCTCTTAAGGCTGGTCGATACCCCAAACAACAGTATCCACACGGTTATCAGGTAAATCAACCAGTCGTACAAGCTAAGATCCGATGAAATACCACCAACCACTATTAAATTAGGAGAGCCTGATACAGCACTGTTCATGACGAGCAGATTAACAAAAAACGTCGTTTATCATACCTCGGCGCACGGGATGTCCAAAACAATAGATTAACACCGTCCAATCCACCACGCTCCAAGAATCTCCCGGTTACTTGAAAAACTGATCAGAAGTGGCCTGTTGTACTTTGTTTATTCTTTGGGCTTGAATAGTAATTCGTAGCATGGTTTTCTTGACGGCCGAACGTGCACCCCTGCCAATTGCACTATAGTACTTACACCTAAGAATATATTGATTCTGGCTAAGAAGTAGTAATTCTGCTTCTCCCGAGTACCTCATAATCTACTGTTACAAACGTTGGAAGCCTTTGAAATCCGGCACCCATTACTAGGTTGGCTATCTTTGTACCTGAATGGTCGTCTCCAGGAAGCTACTTTAGGTTATTATCGCCGTCCTCCATTCCCTATCAAAAGGGGGCCATACAAGGGAACATGCTCGGTCCCTCACTGTTTCTACTCCACATCAATGACATCGCCACAACTGTAAAATATACTCGGCCATTCTTATGCGCAGATGATATCAAGGTCGTCTATAAGCTTCGGCGTGACAAACTTCAGGGGACTCTACTGCTCACTCAAGGTGACTTATATTCCCTTGAGGCATGGTGCCACACGTGCATGATGAACCACACGGCTAAGAAATTAAGCATCATGTCATATAGCTGTTCCATCATCGAAGGATCTATTGCACTAAACAATGAGCATATCCGTATACAGCTGTCCACGCGTGATCTCGGAATGAGGTACTCATGCACTGCCAATGTCTCCAAAAAGGCCTGACATCAAGTGGCACGTGCCAGACAACCTGTGTTAAATATATCCGACAAAATGCACACAAAATGCTCCAAAGTTGAGCATTTGATGTTACTCACCCGATCTATCCTAGAATACTACAACATAATGTAAGGTAAAAGGAGAAAGATCGACAAATTACAGTGGAGGCCGCAGAAATCGTTTAGCAAACATCTGTCAGATAAACACAGCTATGAATTATCGAAAGCGTTGTAATGAACTTCAAATCAAATCACTGTGGTTTCGCCGAGTGAAGCATAAGTTGTTGCTGCTTTACAACTTGTTACACCAAATGACTTACCTCGATCTGCTTACACACAAATGGCAACACAGCTCAACTCGAGAGCTTCGCTACAAGGATTTTAACCTGAATATACCAAAGCACAGGGCAAGCGTGCGCTCAAATTCGTTCATGGTCAAATGTAGCTAACTGTAGATAAAACCGCCAATCATATTCTGGTCATGTGACTATATATATATATATATATATATATATATATATATATATATATATATATATATTAAATATATATATATATATAATATATATATATATATATATATATATATATATATATATATATATATATATATATATATATATATATATATACTCTTCGGAGGTTAGGGAGTGGTCGATGGCCATCTTCCCGTAAAACATAGCCATGGGAGACAACAGGTCCACGAGTTATAAGCTCACAACTCGATTGGCGTAGAGCACGAGCGCCACGCATTGTCTATGACTGTCGGAGGACATCTCCGGATGTTCAGCGGTTTGTTACTTCCCGCCTCAAGCAAGGCAGGTCTTGGTCAAATTGGTGAAAACCCGCCAAAACCCACCGGCGTCTGGCCGTCGGCGTAGGTGTATCCTACAACGGTCGCAAAACATATATGAAACGTTCCAGTACCTCCAAGGCTGCTTGTGACGGCCGTCGAGCAGACCCCAATCTGTCTCTGCAATCACATTCCCGAGCTGGATCTGCTCTCCACTGCCTTGTGGGTCAGGCTATTGAGCCAAAGGCTCCGGGCGGAGTCCCTCAAGCAAACCTCTAAACTACCCACTACCTTGTGGGTCAGGCTGTTGAGCTAAAGGCTCCGGTCGTAGTCCCTCAAGCAAACCTCCAAACCACCCACTGCTTTGTGCGTCAGGCTATTGAGCTAAAGGCTCCGGGTGGAGACTTTCAAGTAATCCTCCGAAACACAACGACATCTCGCATGCGATTGCCCACCAATGCAATCGTATGCCTGCGCGCAAAGCACTCAGCATCGGGTGCTGGAACGTGCGCATACTACTGGACCGGAACTCCAGTGAGCGCCCCGAGCGACGCATTGCACTGGTCGCGATGGAACTGGCGCGCTACCACATCGATATTGCGGCGCTCAGTGAAACTCGGCTTGCTGAGCAAGGTAAGTTGCATGAGGTAGGTGCTGGTTACACATTCTACTGGGTGGGCAACGCCGCCTCAGCACCACGTGAACATGGATCGGATTTGCAAAATCCGATCGCCTTCATGGCCTGCTGGTGGGTGAACCAACGGGCATCAGCGCGCGACTGATGACTTCGCCTACGACTCGGAGGAGGTAAGTTTGCCACTTTTAGAAGCACGTACGGTCCGACCATGTGTTATCCTGATGACACGCCTGATCAATTCTACGCTCAGCTATCCTTCATGATACGGTCTGTGCCGAGGAGCGACCGACTATTTCTGCTGGGTGATTTCAACGCGCGCGTTGGGCGTGATGCATCGGTGTGGACAGATGTTATCGGTTCTTATGGCATTGGTCCAGCGAATGCGAACGGTGACAGGCTGCTCTCACTGTGTGCCACTCACGACCTGACGATCACGAACACTCGGTTTGCACTGAGTGCGAGTGATATAGTAACTTGGAAGCACCCACAGAGTGACCACGCTCATCTGCGTACTTCATGGAACTGAATGTGACACTGGTCACAAATTGGTGCAGACCAAACTGTACATACATTTTCGTAAATCTATGTTTTGCGCTCCCGCCGTGAATTGGCATAAATTTAACATTCTATCCTTCGATGCTGTGGTGAAGCATACTGAGCTGGAGAACGCGATAGATGCACGCCTGTGTGATGTGTACTGCATAGCCACAGTGGGCGACCTGTAGCACCACATTCGCGACCAGGTGACAGCTGATGCCGAGGAGACTATCGTGTACGCAAACCGCAAGCGGCCTGATTGGTTTGATGATAATAATGCGACGATTGGCTCATTGGTGTCGGGAAAG